ACGGATTTTTTTTTACTTCTCTCATCATCTTATCAATCTAATCATCATCGAAAAATCAATCAACCTTTCATTTGATGATCGATTGATTAATGATGAAATATTTTTCTAACGAAATCATCAAATTTGATCAACTCTCTTTCACTTGGTCTTTTTAATGATACATTAAAGTACAAAGTGACAGTTTTTTTCTTGAAAAATTATTGACAATAATTTTTTTTGTGGAAAAAAATAAGTACAAAACCATTATAATGATGATGAGGATGATAATAAAGGTTGTCTGAGTGATCGTAATGGTAACAATTAACAAGTGAGAATAATAATAGAGGAAAATTTGATACAGATAAAGATGGAAAAGTTTGTTTGATGATCAATTTTGATTGTTCAGGATGGAAGAGAGTCCAAAGTTTACTGATGATTGAATTAACCACCAAGTTATGAGAATACAAATTGGTCTTGATTAGAATTTTTTGATTATTTGTTGGGCGCTTACATAAGTACCAGTGATAAAACCGATGATACCGAAAACAGAAATGGCCACATTTTTGATCGTTAAAAGGGTTTTGGTAAAAGTAACAGGGTTATCCCAATTAACGAGAGTGTCAATTAATGGTGGAAAAATTAAGGCCAAACTACTTCCGGAAAGAGCACCGACAAGTGAGATGACGGTATCCAGTTCGGGTACAAGTCGAGCGATTGCAAAGGTCAAAGAGATTAACAAAGTTCGAAATACGGTATCCAAAATGATTGTTTTCGTTTCACCGGGTACAAGTTCAAATTTGGTCGCAAAGTAAGGCCACATTATGTTAATTGGGACGTAAAATTGTACTGCATAGGAAAGGAAAATGGCCACTGAGAACATTAACTGGACAATGGCGTACTTTGTTTCTGGAGGCCAGCTCATTGTTATACTGCCCTGGACTCCAGGTCCATATTTAAGGTAACCAAAAAATCCGATACCTGTATAGAGACAAAGAACCAAACCCATACCAGTATTAAGAACCCCACAAAGGCCACTTAAAGCGGATGGATGTCTCATCTCTTTCCGTAAAGGTAAAACAACACCAATACCCTCAAAGGCGTAAACTATTATACCAAAATAGAGAGGAAGCTTTTTAAGGTCAGGAGGTAGGAAAGGTCGAGTCGAGGGTTCAGTAAATTTTGACAAAGATCGTAAAAACAAAAATAAGTCCAGAGGTTTGTAAAATGTTTGCCATGGTTGATGCTATTGCTAAATGTTTCCAATTACGGATAAGGTTAAATAATATCATGGCGGAAGCTCGATAACCAATAAAAGTTCAACTGGCATATTGTAACCAAGAAGATTTAATCACAATTGATAAATTGGTTGCAACAAATAAAGAGTAGACACAACAAAATCCCAATTGGGTTATAATTAAAAAAAGGATGACCGCTCGTTTCGCCCAAATTGCTTTACTTCGTAAACACTGGGGTCCCAATAATAAAGTTTTCTCGGCTACCTGTAGGGAAAACAATGAGAAGAACAAAAAATAACGGAAGTGATTAGAAAAATTCAATTGTAAATAAGATAAAATCGAAACAATTAAAAAAAAAAAGGAAATCATATTATTACTGTTATTATGTCAGTTAGAGTGACAGGTTGTTGATTAATAAGCTACTATGGGTAATTAGATTGTGGTGTGTGTTCAAAGGTTGATCAATAACATTATTTATGTGCTCATCAAGATCAGCAGGAGATTAGATCAGCTGTCGCAACAATTAACTAATATCAAGATGAAATTTCCTAGTATTTCACAGGGGAGGAAATAACATGAGAGATAGGAAGCGATTTTTGATTTGCAAGAGAAAGAGAGAGAGAGAAAGAGAAAGAGAGAAAATGATTGAAAGCAACAGGAGGAACTCATAAAAAAGTGAAAAGACCTTGAAGATCATCAGTGCAAATAGAGTAGAAAATGGTTTCTTCCAAGGAAAATTTCCAAAAATATATCATTTCGTTTGTAGAATCTAAGAAGCCCATTGAGACTAAAAGAAGAAGAAACAATTTCACCGAGGAGAGATTATAAAAGGAAGTCAAGTTGAGGAGAGAAAAACAAATGAATTTGAAAGGATTGCGAAAGAAAAAAGGTTAACAGTAGAAAGGAGAAAAGAAAAATGGTGACTAAAGAGAAAAGAATTTTAAAGAGAAAATAAAAGGAAAGGAAAAAGGAAACCACTTGTTACTTACTTCTTGATAATCCAAGGCCCTGTAGCCTAATATAGAGCATATCTTATTATGAGAATTAACCAAAAGGTGCATACAATGAATCGCTATTAGGCCAATGATTGGTAGAGCGACTGTACCGACAATTAGACCAGAATTGGCAAAGGCACTTGGCATGGCAAGAATACCTGTTCCTATGTTTGCCTTGATCAATTGCATGAAAGTCAACGTGTTGGAGGTTAATTTGTCGCTTGAATATTGACATTCGTGGTTCCCTGAACAGGTACATGAATGGGTCAAAGGTTTAGTTTCGTCTTTACTCATATTGAAAAAAGTAACAATCAACAAGTAACATATCGTTCACAGTTTTAAGGTTTTGTTTGCAATTTTCACTCTTTGGGAAGATCCAAAGTTACAACTATTATTTGGTGGGAAGAAATTTAATTGTCAAGCTAATTATTGCACTACAGAGTAAAACACACACACAGAAAGAAAACGAGAGAGAGAGAGAGATAATAAGAGTGAGAGTAATTTTCTACAATTAATAAAAGAGAGTAAAAAAAAAATAAAGATAACAAATCAATCAATTAGTTGTTTACATTGAATAAACAAACATTCAACTAATTGTTTCACTTTTTTTTGTTTTCAATTTTTTTCGAATTTCAAGTGGCGCCATCTCTTTTATCGCTGGAAAAGTTTTCCATTCGTTGTGATTAAATTGATTAGTTTAATCACTTTATCACAATTAACGATTAATGGAAGAGAAAAAATTTTTCCAGCAAAATGATATTTCGATGATGATGATTATAATTGTTTGCTGATTATTGAATTACCTTTGGGAAGAGGATAAGTAATATAATAAAAGTGAAGATATGATTACAATTAGAAATCCTTTTCAATATGAACACTTGAAGAGAGGAATATTATTTATTTTTCTCATGTCTTTAGTAATTAATTAATTACACAGAATTAAAGTTGATCAAACTATATTGTAGAGTAATTAACTGTGATAATGATAATAAAAGGAAAAACCCACAAAAAAAATACGCGAAATGGTTAATTGTTGAATAGTTTATTTTGTTGACAATTAGTTTGGTTTTAGATGAAAATGAAAATGTTCATATGTACATTTGTATTTACATTAACCTTGTAGTTTAATTAAGTAAAACTAATTGTCTAACAATTAACAAATAAATAGTTGATCATAAAAATTAATCTACCACAGAGGAATAAGATCAATAAGATATTTGATTGAACAATTAAATAGATTTACTTTTGAGTAAAGTTAATGGGTTTTAGTTTGATTGTCTCACCTTAATTGTGTGTCTATTGTTAATTGTTGACCTAATGGAATTGATTAAATTAATCTGATCCATCTCCAATAGACAAAAATTGCCGCTCCGGTGATTAAAGTTGCACCAAATGAAAGGATAAATATATTTGCCCAGAGGGGCAATGGTTTTGCTAAGCAAACACTTAGATCATAATATTTGGTACACTGACTTTGATTAGTTAATTTGATTCTTGATTGTTCCAATTGTGTCGGATCAATATCAGAGCAAACAATTTTCACTTGATAAGACCAACAATTAAATAGAAACCAAGAAGCACAACAATCACGTTTATCCTCATCCTTAATTGTTGACCAATAATCATAAGTTTCATTTAAACATGAGTTCCAAGTTTGTAATCCATTTTCACAGGTAACATCAATTAGATTTGACCAAATAGGTGAAAACTTATCATCATTAGTTAATTGTGATGGTGATGATGTTGTTGTTTCATCAGTTGATTGTCCATTAACAAGTAAACAATTAAAGACAATCAAATAAACACAAACATTTAACCAAATTAAACAGTAACTGGACAACTTATTCACTTTTAATTTGAGTAATGAAAAGTTAATTCCTATTGATTCAATCATTTACCTTAATTGTTGTTGATTTATCTGTTAACAGTTAACCTTTTTTTGTTTGGTTTGATTTTTTATTCACTCATAAAATTTATTGTTACTTTTTTTCCACTTTTCAAACAATTAAATTACTAATTTTTCACAATCAATTATTCAAATTTAATTACTTTTTATAAACGAGTTAATGTAATCATCTAAACTCATTTACTTTATTGTAACCTGATCATCTCAATTGATTGTGATATTTACCGTTGTTAATGGTTACAATCAAAGGGAAAATAAAAAATGAAAGATTTACAACAATCAGATTAATACCTTTTACCATTTACCTAAATATCATCATAATTATTAATATATTTGACTAATAATGTAATCACTTTTGATTGTCACAAATATAATAGAAAATTAAAGTTTTTTTTTAATACAATTCGATGTTAATTGTAACCTACCAACGAATGGAACCATAAAAATAACGGCCACTGGCCGAGTATCGTTGTTGCCTTGTCGTTTTAAGAAGGTCACTATTTCGGTTGGCGAATCGATTGATATGATTAACTGTTTGGATCTGCGAGAGAAACGATAAATGTTATCGAGGAGTAAATAGTTCGTTTTGTTAATGGTCAACAATACAATGTGATTGAGTTGCTACGATTCGGTGAAGAGCAACTATTGATTCAACCCATCGATTCCTTTCACCAGGTTAATCAGCTCATAGATAACAAACACTATCACCAAGACTTACAACAAATCGACACTTATCAGAGAGAGAGAGAGAGAGAGAGAGAGAGAGAGAAATATACTTAGAGTTACATTACATTTGAAAACATGAATCAACCCAATCAACAGAAACGTAAACAAACACGAAGTTTTATCTGATAACTTGAGATAAACTTTTTCATAAGTGGAATATTTTGTTTTATTAAATTTTTCGTCATTGATAAAATTACAATTCGGTCAAATATCCGTAAAAAATTGAGGACATTATTGTTTATCCCACTGAATAAACTTCAAGCAAATGCATCAATAGAAATAGTTTTTCTCGTAGCTGAGCAATTGAATGAACCATCACCATGCGATCTACCAACGAATTCAACTGGGAAATTACAGAGAGAAAACTAGAGGAAAAAAAACAAAGCATCCAAATGAAATGCTCATTATAATCAGTGAAAGTGAAATAATTTCTAAAATCATTTATTTTATATTCTATTTTTAAATAGATTGTAAAGGAATGAATCTACCATGATTAAAAGAGAACAGAGAAAAAGAAAAATTTTATTATTACAAAAGAAAATTTTGCTTGAAGAGGAAGAGCTTTTTGACGATTTTAGATCGTAAAGATCAACAAGAAAAGGAAAAGAGAAAATTAAAATTACGAGCAAAAGAAATTGGTGAACCTTCATCATGTTTACCTGAGATTTGTGATCATCCTTTATGGTTGGAGATAAATAAAACGACTTCTGACCAATTGAAACAAGCTCGATTAGAGGTCGGTGAAGATGATGGTGAGACAACCGGTGGTTGGGAATTATTTGCCGCCGAAGGTGATATGAGACTTTACAAGAGAGATCTTGTTGTCGATGGGCTTGTCTGTGATCCATTGAAAGCTGTCCACACAGTTCGAGGTATAACTGGACATGAAGTTTGTTATCATTTCTTTAGTCCTGATGTCCGATGGGATTGGGAAAACACTTTAGAATCAATGAAAGTCGTTGAAGAAATCAATTCAAATTCGTGTGTACAGTTTGCCATAGCAAATTAATTCGGGTTGTTGTTGATGTTGATGATGATGATGATGGTAATCAAGTTGATGGATTATGAGATGATGATTATTATTTCAGGTGAAAATGAATGATCAGAATGAGAATGAATCAGGAATAAAATCAAGAGTCGATAAAGGTTAACGATACTCTGAAAGGTTAGATGATCGCACGTTAATTATTAATACAATTAACTTACGATCTTTGTCCATTTCTTAAACTTATTCACCATTTCATTCATAGACTAATCAAAACTTGAGATAAACTCATTTAAAATGATAACCTGTTTATTAATTTGAATATAAGCTCGAACTTTTCGAACTCATTTTCACTCACTTACAATGAACTTGACAATGTCTCGATTTTTAATTTTTCTATTATTAATTAATTTTTCTTGTGCTAATTTTCCCATTGTTTTCAGAAGTGAAAAACCACCTAATACTCAAGAGGCTGGATCGAATGGACTAACTGATGATATCCAATCAAATCTTCAAAAAGTCATTTCCTTGAGGCCATTGTTCAATCTCAGCCGGATTATTGGAGTGACTGGTGGATTAGTTACTGTGACACTTGCATTTATTGAATTCCTTGAGTCTGTCATGGTTCAGATTTGTTCAGTGTATGAATGCTCAGCGATTTTTTATGTGAATTCGTAAGTTTTTTTTTCTTTTTCGTTGATTTTTCGCTTTTTCTATTAATCCTTTTCGTTTTTATCTTAGAAAATACTCAAAGCACTTCCCCGAGCCTCGTCATTATCCTAACGATGAATAAATACCAGAATAACGTGTTGATGATTTCCAAAAATGATTCACAACAATCAGCTGATTACCTTTTACCATTTACCTGAATATTATCAAAATTGATCGTTTAATGATGATCAAATTATTCATTTGTATGATTATTAATTAATAATAAACGAGATTATCAATATAACCAAATGATAAATGTCACTAAATCAGTTTGTTTTGAGTCTAATCAATGGTCATCTAATTTAGTATAAAAAAAACTTAATTTACTGACAAAAGTTAATCAGATTGTGATTTAATCATTGATTTCCTTTCGACAATAAGTTTATCCAAAATAATTGATTGTTGAATGTAAATTGTATTATAACAATCAACTTGATTTCAATATGATTATACTCAACTGATCTTTTTACTTAATCATCTTCTTTATCATGTTAATGGTAATCAAATAATCTGAATCAAAAGATAAACTTGCAATTCAGATTGTTCATTCAGATGTAAACAAGTAATCGGAGCAGAAGCGATTTAATTGTTTACAATTTGATTCACAATAAAATACTACGAGTTAATATAATCTGAGAAGATCGATAAATGAAGATTTTTAGAAAAAAATAAAGTTCGAAAGTTTTTTCTTCCAAAAAAAAGACGAAAATTTAATTAGTCGATTGATACAAAATCATCATTAACAATGATTCCAAGATTGTTTATTGATCAGCAAAATTTTCCATGTTAATTGTGAACAATTTGATCTTAAATTGGTCTAGTCTATGAAAAGATAATTGTAATTATCTTCCGATTATTGGTCAACCTCATCTTCCTGATACTTAGTGGTCAACACAATTTACCTGAATCTCGATCTGAATCTTAATCATGATTAAGTTAATTGTTGAAATACAATGAATGACAATTTAAACTAAAAATGGTTTACAATTAAAATGAATTTTTCTCAACTAAATTGTTACAATTGTCAAATCATCTTCTAATTCAACCATTAATATCATCCCAAAATGTTAAATGATGAACAAATTATTGATCGTTAACTAAATTTAATGATTAACAATCAAAATCAGTCTACACCTTGAGTTAATTAAACAAATTGATTAAATTGGTTTGTCTGAGACTTTAATTACATTGACTAAAGTGATTAAGATCAACTGATTGTTTACTAAACTTGAAATTAATCTGATTAGTTGTAGAGCTGAAACTTTTTCTTAATCATCTAGAAAGATAATCTGATTTAGTTCAGGTAAAAATTTACTGATTGTTACTTTTGACTGAACAGATTAAAAGACAATTCAAGATAATCTAATCAATTACAATAAACCATTTTATCCAATTATCTTACAATTAAGTTCAGATGAATGAGTCTCAAGATAAATCATCATGATCATCATCATTTCTGCTGAATTGATTGTAATAATAAAATGTTGATTGTTGATCATCAAATGAATCAGGTTAATTCAATTCAATCATCGTCATAATAATGTTCATTTTGAGAGATGAAAAAAAAAACAAATCAAATCAGTTGCTAATTGTTGCAATCAGGAAAAACACAATCAAAAAATGTTTCAATTTTATTAATATTTACATTATTTCAGTTAATTGTTATCATATATTAATTTTTTTTTCATAAGTAAGCAAAGCAGAAATTAACTAATTAACCTTGATTGATTGTTTATTTTTCAATCCATCTAATGATTATCCCATTCAAATATACTCAATATTTACATTGAATGAAAATATAATAATAATTAGTATACAAAACAATTGAAGGTTGGTTGTTGTTGTTGTTTTTTTGCATTCGCTTTGTTTAAATTAATTAATTGTATCATTAGTAACATTATTATAAGCACACAATTAGGATCAACAATCAATTGATTGGCATAATTAATAAGCATTAAAATAGTCACAATTTTATAATCTCTTGAAATATTTGATGTGTGAAAACAAATATTAACCACTGTTGTTGACTAATCACTGAATCAACTTTTGAAATCAATCAATCAATCAAGGTTAATTGTGTGATTTAAATTAATTGTAAAATATGAAGGCTCTGCTTGTTAACGAGTTAATTATTATTACAAAATATTATCTTGCTTATAACTTTTCTTTTCTTTTGATTATATTTGAGCAGATTTGATTTAATTACTGTTGCAATTTTGATTTTCACAATTAACCTTTGATGGTTTGTTTTTTTTTCTGGTTAATTAATTGTTATTGGTGTGTGTGTGTTGATTAAAACATGATTGGCTTTTCTTTTCGAGCATCGATCACATATTGAGAGAAATTTTTCAAAAACTTTGGATATTCTCGTTTATAAAGAGCTCGTAATACCGATGCAGGAGCCCAACCACCGGGATTAACTGTTGATTAAGATGAAGAGTTTATTAATTGTTTGATTCTGATGATTGGATTATGTGAAATACTTACTTGTTGAACAGTAGATTATTTTGCAGATTAAATTATTTCGAGTAATTGGTTGGCCTTCTTTAGGAGGTTCAATGAAAGTTTCACATGTTAAACTGACTGTCATTCTCATTCTAACACATCTACCGACCTGTTAATTAAAGATGATTAGTGATTAGTAATTAGTTATTGGGAAGTTATTAATTGATGGATTAGTTGACTTACTGGAATGTCATTTCGGTCCGTTGAGTTATTGCATACGATCCAAATATCATCAGGATCTTTTTTATCGGTGTATATTGGTAATGTTGATGGAGATGAATTTGATACAAATGGTGATGAGGAAACTGAAGATGATGTTGATGATGAAGAGGAAGAAGGTGATGATGATGATGATGAAAGTTGACTTGGGTTAAGTTTACGAATATGTGACCAAAAAACTGCATCTCTTTGGGCTGCAGGCCAAACACGTTTATGAATTTGATGAAACACTAAAGTATTTGGATTGATTTCTTCAACGACTTTCATTGATTCTAAAGTGTTTTCCCAATCCCATCGGACATCAGGACTAAAGAAATGATAACAAACTTCATGTCCAGTTATACCTCGAACTGTGTGGACAGCTTTCAATGGATCACAGACAAGCCCATCGACAACAAGATCTCTTGTAAAGTCTCATATCACCTTCGGCGGCAATAATTCCCAACCACCGGTTGTCTCACCATCATCTTCACCGACCTCTAATCGAGCTTGTTTCAATTGGTCAAGAGTCGTTTTATTTATCTCCAACCATAAAGGATGATCACAAATCTCAGGTAAACATGATGAAGGTTCACCAATTTCTTTTGCTCGTAATTTTAATTGTCTCTTTTCCTCTTCTTGTTGATCTTTACGATCTAACATCGCATCAACGGCATCAAAAAATTCTTCCTCTTTAATCTTTGAATGAGGACCTTCTTCATAATCTGGATCGTTAAGAATCATCATCTTTTGATCTTCACTTGATGTTCCTTGTAAGGTAGCGACCAATTCTTCGAGTTTTTCCTCTTTCCACTTCAATTTCCCACTTTCGCTTCCAATTCTCTTCCTTTGTTGCATTAAATCCATACAATGTGATAAAGTTGCTAAGATTCGATGATGAGCAACTATTGCTTCAACCCATCGATTCCTTTCATCTGGAGAATCAGCTCGTAGATACCAAACACTATCACCAAGACTTACATCAAATCGACACTCATCAAATTCATGTAACTAAATAATAATAAGGTGGATAGATCATAGGAACAGTGACAGAGAGAAAGAGGGAGAGATTGGGGTAGGGCGAAGCAAAGAGTGGGAGAGAGAGAGAAGGAAAAAAGAAACCAAACAATTATATTAATTAGTACCCAGACAAAGTGAGAGAGAGAGAGAAATATACTTACAGTTACATTGCATTTGAATACACTCATCGCTCCTCTGCAACCAGAATCTGATTCATCTTCTGATTTAAAGTAAGTCAAGGTTCCATCTTTCAGTAAGATGAATCTCTCTTGCCAACCGTGGATATAATTGGTCCACTTGTTACATATTCCTTGATAGGTGATGTTACTTCCGATTTGATTATCATCATTAATAAAAAAACTATCAGAATTATTTGAATTGCAAATAATTTCCATTTTACTCATGATTAATTTACAAACAAACAAAACATGAATCAACTCAATCAACAAAAACGTAAACAAACACGAAGTTTTATCGGATCTCTCAAAGTATCAGATCCAAGAATCGGCAACGAACGAACATCCAACCCCATCTGGTGGTCGATTAACGAAACAAAATCTTTTTTTCTTCCATAAAAATTGAAAATTGATTTTCTTTCAAAATCAACAATCAACTGATTTCAATTTCGTTCATCTTATAATCTATTCAGGAATAAAATCTGAATTATATTCTTTTCTCTTTCTACTTTTTTCCGTATTTCCATATCATCATCATGATGAACATTTCACTTACCGAATTTTTAAATTTCTTTCTTTACCTTCTCATTAACTTTTCTAATCTTTTCTCGGCAAGTATTTAAATCCCACTTACAATCAACTTTTAAGAATTTGATTATGAATTATCGTAAGAATCAATTTATTTTATTCAATTACTGATTAATTTAATTTTCTCTTTATTTGAATATCGCGTTTTCTTTAGTGAAAAAGTTTTCCGGTAGATGGAGTTGTCGTCGTTTTCTTTCAAAATTTGTTTTTGTTTTGTTTTCTAATTTAAGACAAATTAAACTTTTAATTGTTAAACTTTTCGTCGTCTCATCTTTAATTTAATTGGATTTAATTATTTTATAATTGAACAACACTGTAATCAATTGGTGATTTGGTTAAATTAGAAAGTAAAACTCAACCACTTGTGCCTTATGATATTGGACAAACTCGAGTGATTTGAAAATGTTTGTCACTTTATCTGAATGTTAAATTATTTTGATTGGAATCAAAATAACTTTGCCAATTCCAATAGTTCACTAATTATGGTTACCAAGTTAAAGATTTCAATATGAGCCGACACACAACACCTTCACCAGTTTTCTCAGATTCCTCTGGAATCAGTGATAAATATTCAGATTGTTCATCTAACGATGAGTCTTCGTTGATTAAATCTGAATGGCCTCCATTGAAATATATGTTAATCATTTTTATCATATCATTTACCATTTATTTCAATTCATTATCATGTGGTTTCGCTTTCGATGACATCCCAGCAATTAGAGATAACAAAGATCTTAAACCAAGCACTCCGATCATAAACCTTTTCTCCAATGATTTTTGGGGTACATCAATCAGAAAGGTAATTAAAACAATGGAAAATAATTCTATCCAATTCAATTAATCATCTCTCTGTTTTCATTTTCTTATTTCCATAGGAACACAGCCATAAATCATATCGACCACTGACCGTCCTTACATTTCGCCTTAATTACCTTTTTGATGAACTCAATCCATTTGGTTATCATCTAGTTAACATTTTAATCCACTCAACAGTCTGTTTACTTTACTACAAGTAAGAAATTGGATGAACATGATCGCTTCTTGATTTGCAATTTGCTTCCTAATTTTTCAATTGTATTTCTTTTCTCCATTTTAATTTTATTTTTCTTCTCTTTCATGATCTTTCCTGTAGACTTTGTTTCACCTTCATGCCTAATTCAGCAAGTCTTGTTTCAGCTCTCATCTTTGCTGTTCATCCAATTCATACTGAAGCAGTTACTGGAGTCGTTGGAAGAGCTGAAACCTTATCATCTCTTGTCTTCTTAACAGCTCTATTATTATACATCAAAAGTACAATCAGCAACAAAAATTCTTGTATGTTGGGCCAATTGTTTTGCTTTTTTTTCTATCCTTATATTTTTGCTTCTCAAGCCAATTTCTGTTCTTGCATATTCAAATCTTTCTCATTCCAACTCAACTAATTCATCTCTTTCTCCATCTCTATTTTTCAGCCTGGACTCCCGTTACATTGTCTCTTCTTTTGGCTGGTGTTGCCACTTTCTGTAAGGAACAAGGTATCACTGTACTCGCTGTTATGGCTGTTTACGAAGTTATGATTCTTCACAAGGTTAATCTACTTTCTCAAGCAAATTCGGGAACGAATTGTCTTTTAATTTCAATTCTAACAATTTGTTTCTCTCTCTTTCTCTTTTCTTAGGTTAACTTGGATAATCTGAAAAACTATTTATCTATTAAATCACTCCAATCGAACCGGATGAAAGGCCACTTGTTACGATTAATCCTGATCGCTATTTCTATTGTAATATTACTTTTGATTCGAGTTCATATTATGGGATCACAATTACCGATTTTCACAAAGTATGTTTTCACTCTAGAAAGAAATCAAAAAAGTTATTACACTAATTTCTAAATCTTTTCCTAAATTGTTTTTCCTAATTTTCTTTAGATATGATAATCCTGCTGCAGTAGCATCTTCACCTACTCGGCAATTAACCTTTAACTATTTGCTGGTTGTTAACAGTTGGTTACTTTTATATCCAATGAATTTACTTTGTGATTGGACCATGGGAACAATTAATCTAATTGAATCTATTACCGATATTCGTAATCTTACCACAATTGCCTTCTACATAATCTTAGCCAAACTTTCAATCAAATGTTTGCTCAATCATAGAGAAAGAGATAGAAATATTTTAATTATGTCGCTCAGTCTAATTGTATTTCCATTTCTTCCTGCATCAAATTTATTTTTCCCTGTTGGTTTTGTGATTGCTGAAAGAATTTTATATTTACCTAGTATGGGATTTATCATGTTAATCTCTTATGGATGGTATCTTTTATCCTGTAAATTGCGAAACACTAATCCTAATCTTGAAATTTATCCAAACAATTATATTGGTCCAAAAGTTTACTCCATGGTTCCCTGGTTATCCTGCTATTATCATTCTCAGCTCGAACTTGGCTTAGAAACTACGATTGGACATCAGAATATACTATTTTCACCGCTGGTCTGAAAGTTTGTCAGACCAACGCAAAGCTTTACAATAATGTTGGTCATGTGTTTGAAAGTCAAGGAAAATATCGTGAAGCCCTTGAGTACTTTTTAAAAGCATCGACAATCCAACCCGATGATTTAGGTTCACAAATGAATGTTGGACGAACTTACAACCATTTGGAAATGTACGATTTAGCTGAACAATATCTTCTAACTGCTAAAAGTTTACTCCCTCGTCCGAAAACGGGTCAACAATATCAAGCGAGGATTGCACCTTCTCATTTAAGCGTTTTCGTTAATCTTGCTAATCTAATATCTCGAAATAATTCAAGATTGGAAGAAGCCGATTCACTTTATCGTCAAGCAATTTCCATGAGATCTGATTACACTCAAGCTTATATCAATCGTGGTGATATTCTGATAAAACTAAACAGAACTCGAGAAGCCCAAGAAGTTTATGAAAAAGCTTTACAAATAGACCCAACTAATCCCGATATTTATTATAATGTAAGTCAAATCATAATTAAAAATTCAAATACAAATCAATACAAATCTAATCCCTTTAAACTCTTGTTTATCACTAGCTTGGTGTCGTTTTGTTGGAGCAAAGGAAACCCACTCATGCTTTATCCTATTTTGATCAAGCTCTTAAATTGGATCCATATCATGAGGTAAAAATTGTTGAAATCTAATGATCACAATCGGAAAATTTTCTTTTACTAAAATCAATTCTTTTTTCCCTCTCTCTCTACCATTAGCAATCACTATTGAATTCAGCGATCTTAATACAAGAATCGGGCGATGAACGAGCTCGACCTTTGGCTATTAAGCGTCTTATTCAGTTAATTGAATTGAACAAAGCCAACGAACGAGTTTATTTCAATCTTGGGATGTTATCAATGGACGATAAAAAATATTTGACTGCCGAATCTTGGTTTAAACGAGCAATCGAAAGCCGTCCCGATTTCCGAAGTGCACTTTTTAATTTGGCCCTCCTTTTATCGGACAGTAATCGACCTATGGAAGCCTTGCCTTATTTGAAACAATTACTCAATTATTATCCTGATCATATCAAAGGTCTTTTCATTTTAGCTGATATTTATGTTAATACTGTTAAAAACATTGACGAAGCGGAAAAATGTTACCTCAAAATTGTCTCACTTGATCCTAAAAATATTCAAGGGCAACATAATCTTTGTGTTATTTACGTTGAAAAGGATAAACTTGAAGATGCAGAGAAATGTTTAGTTAAAGTTAGCTCACTCTCTTCCAATCAGGATTATATTGACAAGCATTTACGGATCGTTAGGAATCGTATTGCCAAAAAGAGGATGTTAAACAATGGAAACTCTGCTCTCAACGATTCTTCATCTTCTTCTTTTTCTCCTGATTCAACTTCAAGAACATGAAATGATCATGTTTTTTCATCAATTCTTCATCTTCTTCTTTTTCTCCTGATTCAACTTCAAGAACATGAAATGATCATGTTTTTTCATCAATTCTTCATTCTTCTTTTATACTTTTTTACTTTTACTCTTCATGACTACAACCAGAATCATCAACAACTTTGTTCACTTATGAAAGTTGTTTTCTTGTCTGGGCTTCTCACCTATTCAATTTACTTTGATGATCATCAATCAACCAATGAATCTCTCACCAAGACACACATTTAACCTTTCAACCATCAAAAATTAACAATCAAAAAAATCATTATTGACTGTTAATTGTAATCCTGATTCACTGATCATGTATTTTTTTTCTTGGTCTTTGTCTTTGAATCTTGAGATGATTTAATTTTTTGCCTCTGTTCCTTTAACAATCAGATTACTACAATAATCAACTCGTTAACTAGTCATTCTGATGAGAGATAATCCCAACTTTCACTTGTTAAATCAATTTGCAGCAACAAAGAAGTGTCCTAATCAATTAAATTATTATCCATTCCATTTATTAATCTCTCATGTGACCTAAAGTGTATCTTTAATTCAATTGTATTCTTACTATTAATAATTCATTGATTATTTTCATTCATCTTCGTATCGATTAAATTGAAGATTTTTCTCTTAACGAATGAAAAAATTGACAATCAGAATAATCTGATTGTAAATTAGTTGCTTAATCACTTAATAAATCATTAAAGTGACCACCAACTTGAAGAAAATAATCAATCAACTTGATAGTAATTTAAGAATTGAAAATATTTTCAATCGATTCAGATCAGTTCTAAATCCAGTAAATCCATTTAAGTTGTAACATTTAACTTGATAAGATGACCTCAAGTTTACTATCTAAATCTTTGATTGTAACAATTTGTTTAATTGGATCAATTATCCAATTGAATGATGTGATTGGTGATTTCTTGAAATTTGAGGTTAGATTTGAGGTGACTTATGATTACTCGGAGATATTTGATTTACCTGCGATCGATATCACCATGAACCTTGGGTCAGTTATTAATCGGACTTCATTATACAAACGATATCCCATTGAATTAGGTCAAATTTGCCGAAATCTAACCGAGCGAAAGAATCTAAAAATAACCTCATTGCAAGATTATAATCGATATTGTTCAAATTGGACTGGACCAACACCGATTGTCTCATATAAACTATTATCATTTCTCACTATTGGAGATATCAGAAATTATTGCCCTGACCTAAGGTCAAACATAATCTCTATCAGTTTAAATGGTTACGAAGGTAACATATTAACTCGTGGCTTTTGTAAAATTGATCATTTCCACACTGGGCTTAATTATATCATTAGAATCTCGTGTCGAAATGGTTCAAGACCATTTCAGTTTCACTTTTCTCGAGAGTTGGACGGATCCAGTAGATCGCCTATCGTTTGTTTCGTAGCTCGTAACTTTCCAGAGTTTGGATTTCGTTTGGTTTCAATAACCTATGAACCCGAAACTCGCATCAGCAAGTACATCAGAATACTAACGAATTATTTTACAGTTAGATCGCATACTCGTCGACTTGTTCGGGAAAATTTACCTTGGCCTCGGAAAACTAACTGTTCAAGTTACAATAAGAGGACATCTTTACATAATTGTCTGAATCAACAATTCGCTGCTTTTAATTGCGTCTATTCTGATACAGTACATTCGTTCAACGAAGACAATCAATATCCTCCCAATTTCCGTTTCTTTAATCTAGAAAACAACGATCTGCTCGAGCGAATCGAAAAGATCTGTTCGAATGCTAACCCTTCACCCCAATGTAATTATATCGATTATGAGACGACATATTATTCGTACCCGACACCGAATTACGTCGAGAATAGAAAAATCTGCTTAGAATATCCCAACGAACCCGATCTGATCATTCGAGCTTATCCAAAATCGACAATTACTGATCTTCTAATCTACATCAGTAGTATTTTCGGCCTTTGGTTCGGCTTATCGATACTCGATGGTCTCAATCATCTTAATTGTTACAAAAAGAATCGCAGATTCAATTGATTTCGATCAATTTTGATTAATCAATGAACAATTGTAATCATTTAAATCATTCCAATGGGAAGAAAAGTCATCAAAAAGTAAACAATCAACACAATTAACTTTTGTTTTATTATTCTATTAATAAATTAGTATGATTAATGATCAATTATGATTAAAGAGTCGGTTGAAGCCGGTTAATTGTTGATTACTCGTAATTTAATTACAACAATCAAACTGGTTATTCTGGGTTAGATTAACCAGGAAAAAAAAATCATAAGACAAAAGTAATTAAATTAAACATCTCGTCAATTTGAGGTTTACCATGATTACTTAATTGTTGCAATTTAAACGTTTCAATTAACATTAATATTGTATATAAATGATCATCTAAATCAACAATTAAACATGAAAGTGTTCAATTAAATGAGTACAATTAACTTTCAGTAAGTAACTTAATTGTGATTAAATTTCAATTGAATAATAATTAATGGGGTTGTTTACATTCAATCAGCTTTAATTACTACAATTAAGAAAATAAAAATCGCAATTATCTTCTTAGCAATTTAACGTCAAAGTTAATCAGTTAAAGATAAACATTTTAAACAATCAAATTAAAAGACAATTTTAATCAATAGTTAATCAACTTGTTGATAATCATAACAATTTGTTGATTACATGTTAGGTAATTAGTATTTGATTAACACTAATTAACTTTTCCAGTCTATCAGGATCTCGAGTGTTTCAGTCTGATTGATAGAAAACAGAAATCTTGTTAATTGTTATCATTTAATTGGATGAGAAACAAATTAAATTTAACTAACATGAGGTGATTTCTATGTAGAGTCAGATGATCGTTTAAACTGATTGTAATTCATTCAAAGTAAAATATCAACCAGACAATTAATCTAATCAGTTGATTAATTGTATTCCATTCAATTGGTGATAATTAATTTGAGAGTTTTAATCATAATCCCATTTTTTTTATTTTGATATTTTTTTTTCGTTAACATTTTCAATCAATTTTGTTTTTTAAATGCATGGGGAGAGAGAGAGAGAGATGTGAAAATTTATCATTTGAATCCATGCAAATTTGGGTGTAATGGTGAGTTGATAATTAGATTGTTACAATTAAATAGAATTTAATTGTTACTAATTTCGTGTTTACAGCAAAGAGAGACCAGAGGGAAAAAAAGGAGTACCAATTAGTAGTAAAAATGAAATTGTTTCCATTGAGAAGCCAATTGAGATACGTTTAGGTTTTTGTAGGAGGTTGTTGGTGGTTTTTGATTAAACATTTTATCCAGAATGTAATCAAGGACAGGAACAAGTTAATTAACTCGAGTCAATTAATAAACATCAAAATTCATCATGATAATTTCATCGTGTTTCATGGTAACCAAATCTTAATCACATTTCCTTTTTGCAATGTTGCGTTATTATTGTTACACCAATGGGAATAGTTGTTGTTATTTATTCATTTAGAAATACATAAATATTCCCATCGAGATTGATTGTTGATTAACTGGATTTAATCAGATTGTTGAAATCTGAGTTAATATTAAGAGAGAAGAGACAAACATCATGTTCATTTGTAAATCTGTTTGCAAATTTTCTGCTGGTCTCATTGTTGTTTTCATTCATCTCAATTTGTATCAAGGTAAAATTAATTATACCTTGATAATTTTACTATTTAAATGATAATCAAATTCGTCACCAAAGTAAAATTAAATCCTTTTGTCATTCGTTTAAAATTTGATCCAAAAGTTGCTTGAGTTTTACAGTTTTTCCTCTTTGCTGTTGATGGTGTTGTTGAACTTTTTTCCATTGTTATTGTTTATAAATATAAATTATATTTTATCATGTTTATGATCAGGCTTCTCAATCATTATTGGTTTTAATTAAATTGTTGATGATTTTTTTTTCTGTTCTTTCAAATGATTTATAGAGAAGGTGTTGTAACTTGATGATGATAGAAACTTTGTTTTTTCCATTCATTTTTGTATATTTACATTTTGTTTTAAAAAATCGATTCATCAGTCACCTTGACTTCCATCCGTTAATTTTTTTGTAAATTTTGTCGTATTCAGTTTTTAAACTTTTGCATTTAAATGATTTTTTGAGATGTAATTTGTTGATTTACTAATCAAACAACAACAACCATAATCTAGTAGACGATTTGTCCCAGAAAGATTACATCTCCATTGAAAATTGTGGCTCTTCATTGGTTGCTATATGATGAAAGAGAAAGGGAGAGAGAGAGAGAGAAAGATAAATATATGTGTACAGAGGAGGAAAATGATTATCAATCATGGGATTCATCATGAATCGAAGGCCAAATGGGATCAGAAACTCACCTGATACAGCCTTTTTAGGGGCAGTAGTAGTTGCAGGGGTTGTTGTTGTTGTTGTTGTTTTTGTTGTTGTTACGGTTGATGGTGTTGGTGATGTTGCTTTAGATTGCTCAATCTTTTTCTGAATTGTTGCTGATTGCTCAGATTTTATTAAAGATGAGGGTTTAAATGGTGATTTATTTTCCTTTAGGCTTTCAGGTGAAATACCCGTTGTAACACCAGCTATGTAGGGAAGATTTTTGGGTGGAGTTGATGCAATGGGTGAGTTTCTCATCTTTAGGAGGAAACTTCGGTCATAAATAATTCTGGTTCCTAAGAGAGTTAACAGAAGAAAAACAATTTAATTAGTAAAATAATGTAGAAAACAAAAAGAAATCAACGATTCAAATAATCAATAGGTCAACAGAGTCAACACATTACAATATCTAATAGTTGATGATAGTTTCATGATGATTCAAATCAAATAGATTGAAAATTAATGCTGATTAGTAGAGAAAAAAAAACAATAATATTATTGATGTTCAATTCGATCCTAAAATAGTGATAATTGCAAAATCAAGAGAAAATTAAAGAGTTAACAATAACAAATAACAACAACAATCGGTACATAATGGAGATTGGAAAAAATAAGAACGAGATTAAGTAATCAAATAGCAGAAAATAAAGCTGACAATGTTAATTTAATGAGACCATCACTTAACCATAATTAAAAGTAAAAACAAAAACAATGATATATATTATTAATTGTATATTAATAATGACAATCATAGGAAATAAACAGAATGATAATAAAATAATGATAACAACAATAATAATAAAGTGTCATGATTTAATAAAGATCATAGGACTTTAACTGATCGCGAAATTGATCATCAATCTTAAACGACAGGCATCTGGTTAAATTGTTACTTCAACAATTAAACTTGAAAACTAATATCATGAGTAATTAATATTAAGTACGAGAGAGAGAGAGAGAGAGACATGTAAGCAATGATTAATCAATGTAATTATCTCTGTAAGACAAATTGTAACAAGTTACTCGAATGAAGAGTAAAGAAAAGTTTCTAATAACAATAAATTAGAAAATCAGATTGAAAGAAGTTAATTTTCAATTTAAAGATTCAAGATAATGAAAGAGACTAATTAAATCCTGAGGCAGTTTAAAAAAGGAAAGTTAATAACGAAAAAGAAAACAAATCAACGTTAAGAACCATAAAAAAATATGAGAGAGAGAAACTCATGTGACAATTTGATATTGAGCCTAAGACAAAAGAAGAAGAGTGAGAAAAGAATAAGAATTTGATTTGATCATGTGTTTCTCTTTCTTGATTCTTTCAAAAGTCCTTCAAAGAAGTAAAATAATAAAATGAAGTTCATAAACTATTCATAAAGAAATAGAAACAGAGAGAAATCATGAGACATCGCTGTTCAAGGAGCGTTGAAGCTCTTGTTCATTTCGATGAGGTGATAAACCCATGACACTGAGAGAGATGAGGATGAAAATATTAAATAACAGAGAAATATGAACATGTTATTTTAGATAAACCGGATTTTCATTTCTCTCTCTCTCTCTCTCTCTCTCTCAATTTCTCAAGCAGAGAAAATTTACTTTTCGAAATTAGTTTATTTTCTCAATTGGTGAAATCATTGGATCATTTCAAGAGATATAAAATCCGAAAAGCTAAATTAACCTGGTGATTGTTTTTGGTGTTCTAATTAGAAAATTTTTGAAGGATATCAACTAGAGAAAGATAATGAGAAAGGGAAAGCAGAGAGAGAGAGAGAAGATGAAAAGTTGATTGCATGTTGTTATACTTGCGGGAATATGCAACTTGGCAATAAAAAAGAGTCAAATGACTATCAATCAACAGACAAAACCAACTTTGCAAGTTGTTGGAGTTTTTTGTTTAAACCTCGTGACTTGTGATTCATCAAACAACAGACAATATGGCGGCTCAATTACTTTAACCTATTCTTCATGTGATCAATAGAGAATATCGAAAGAGAAAAAGATTAACAATATTCTACAGAATAGATATGGAGATAATCCATTTTTCGTTCCTAAATAACAACTCACAAGAGGTGAAAGTTAAAAAGAACAATCAAACCAATCAACTAACCCTGACGAATAGAATAGAATAGAAAATTAGTTTAAAAGAGAAAATGGAGAATATTCGATGGAACGAAAATAGAATATGAACAGAAGAAAAAAACAAGACTACTTTTCGTACGTTTTAAGGATTTGAATTGAAATTTCACCATGAATTTATGAATCGTTAACTAAATGATTGAATTAATTGTTAACTTACCTCCAGGAGTAGTTGCAAACATTGTTCCACCCGGAGTTTGGCAGTAATCATCCGGTAATTGAGAGAGATTGGTCAATTGAACCTTTTTAGTTGGTATTTTGAGACCACTAACACCAGTGGTTGATTGTTTTTCAGGGGTTACTCTTGAAAACATGATTGTATTTAATTTTTATAGAAATGACAAAAAAAAAAGTTCCAAACAATGAATAGATTGAATCGAAAAAGAAAATTAAAAATACTATTGGTAGTTTTATGTTAGGCAAAGAAACACAAGTGATGTCAATGGAAGTGAGAGTTTTAATACAACATAAAAATAGAGAGAGAGAGAGACACAAATTGAGAAAACAATAAATTGTTTATAAGAAGAAAATGTTCAATTAATTAGAGAATTAAATTAAATCAAAAAAGAATAAAATAAAAATAAGTTACATGAGAAAAGAAAAGACAGAATAAGAGAAAATCATTTTGTTCTTCTCTTTATAAACAGAAAATAGAGAAGAAAAATAAACAACATGGAAACTCCTCCCATTCGCTTCTTACGTAGTCGATTCTCTTTCGATTTTCACTGTCTAATTTTCTATTTTCAAGGTTTTTTTCTCTCTCTTACCCAAATTACTTTTGTTTTGGATAATTTATTTTCGACCCTTAGCCCCGATCATCTTTATCTTCTTCATCTCGTCATCATTTTCGTTTCAAAATCTTGGTATCATCAACCAACAAAGAGTAATTTTCATCTTCTTTCTTCCATCTTCCATTATCTTCTCTGTCTAAATTATGTAGAATTTGTTTATTTGTTTATTTCCCTCCTTTTTTTGGGTCTTTGTTTTTCTGGTTTTTTCTCTCTCTCTCTCTCAGGGGTGATGATTTCTTTGTTTATAATTACATCATGATTAGAATAACTGTTCACGTTTCGAATATAAAATTTAATCATCCTCATCACCTTTTTCTTTTTTCTTTCATCTTGTTCTAGGTCAATGGTCGATGATGAATCGTTGGTATCATCAACTTGTTTATCATCATTTGTATTAGAAATTAATTCATCTGGTTTGGATTAAGTAAACAACAAGGTATGTGAGCTTCTCTCTCTCTCTCTCTCTCTGTCTCTTTCTATCACCTTGTCGCCATCTTGTTTTCCCTCGTTCTTATTCAATCATTTTCCAAAAAAAAAAAGGTTTTCTTATCTTCTTCTTATCCTCTAAATAATCACTATTTGTTGTTACATCATCTCTGTCATCATCATCATCATCAACCCTTTTTTACGATCATCTGATAATCATCATCATTGTCATCACCTGAATGTGAATTCTTTTTTTGTATTGGCACCTTCTTGGTTCAGGTATGTACTCAGTCACCTTATCTGATTCATGATTTACACCATAAAACTCATGAGACTTTTCCCATTTTATCATTCACACAATACACTTAATCTTGAATCATTTTCGCTTCTTATCTGATGCTCACACTAATCAATATTATTACAGATTACATTGTATGTGTGAGTTAATCATCCTCATGCTTTAATCATGATTTAAGCTTCAATATAATAATTGATTAGCATAAAATTGAAACAAACAACATCACCTACAACAGCTACAACAATAGATATCAATGTGGTGATGATTTTTTTTATCTGGTGATATTTAACTTAATCTCTTGTATTTTATTAGCATTATTATTCTTGATTATCAATTAGATGGATTTCTGATTATTCATGGTTGTATCTCTTTAATTGTTGTTTACTCCAGTTTTCTAGAGCGAGAACCCCAAAGGATAAAACTGGTTCAATTGGAGGGAAATGGATGGATTATTGTGATGATAATTAACCAGATAGAACGTGATTTGTATCTGCTAATTACAGTAATTTAGTTTATCCACAATGTGAATGATCCTGATAGTATAAATTGTTATTTTCTATTGTTGATATTAGTTGATTAAGTAATTTTCTAATCCAATTATTAGCGATTATTTTGTTTTGTTTCCCATTCCATTGGGAACATATTGATTGTTAACAATTAGTGATTTATGGTTGATTTTTGTAGTTCCTTCTTCCGTATGATTCAATTCTAGAGAGAATTTTATTTCGTTCCTTCCATAACCTTGACTGATTTTCCACTTCGAGCAGATTTAAATGAATATTAGTTAAGTTTATCATTCAAATTTTAGGCTGATTACCTTGAATTAACTGTTAGTTTATCTAAATTAACAATATGATTAACCAACGAAATGCTGTAATTTCTAGAAAAATAATCGTATCTAAATTTACCTAATCTTTTCTGTTATTAATTTTCCCTCTTTTATTTGTTTACAATTTAGAAGAAATTTGATTGTTCATGGTTCTTTAATCTCTCTCTCTCTCTCTCTCTCTCTCTCTCTCTCTCTCTCTCTCTCTCTCTCTCTCTCTCTCTCTAATCGTTGTTTACTCCATTTTTGCCAAATTCCAAGGAAAAGAGGAATCAAATGAGATAATCGGAGGGAACTCACAATCCATGGATTCTGATGGAGATCATGAGAGGAGGAAGAACGTGATTTAAGTCAAGTAACTGAAGGAAATGAATTCGAAGACGAAAACAACGAACAAAAATCATGGATAGAATCAGCGAACTTTTTTCTGCCTCTCTCCAGGAAGAAGAGAATGCGAAGATGAACGAAGAAAGTTTTAAAAATAGACGATAATTAACTGATTAAGGGGAAGATTGTGATGAAGATTGTGATGATGGAAAAAGGAAAAGGTTATTCAGTAGCAATGATCTCTCCCAATTGATGAGTATGATGAAAAATACCATAGACAAAACAATATCCTACTCAAGGTGGTTTTCCCATTTAGATTTTAATGATTGTATTGATTAATCAATATGATAATTATTCTCATCCTTTTGATTACTTTTCATCTTAATCATTATTCAATCAACCATCAATTTCATTCTGAAACGTGGTTCAGCCTTAAGGTGTCTTATTGTTCAAGTCAAACAAGTGATATTGTAATAGGATTGGAATCAAATGGAATACAAGTAAATTAATTACCACGAGAAAAGTTTTGTTAATTGTTGATGATTTTCTGGTTAAGTTTCAAAACTTCAATCAATAACCTGACAAGATGATAATCATGATCGCTGGTTGAGTGTGGTTCAATTTTCCTTTCGAGTGATTAGTTAATTTTGTGATAATCTAAACAACATTTAACTTGATTGTTTCGATTCCGGTTATTTTATTTGCTTTCTATCAATCGTTGATAGTTTTACACAATTAATCTAACCATTGATCATCTTATTGATTGTTGATAACAGAACTTACAATTACAATCTTTTGATCACTTTTTTGCAACAATCAACAGAAAAAAACACTTTTTCTCATCAACAATTAGTCATTGTAACTGTTAATTGTTACATCTTTGGTAAACAATTCCCAATGAAATTCAACATATGACTTACTGATTATTCTGAATTGAATCTCTAATGATTACAAATCAATCAATTGATTTATTCCTCTGACAATTTATTTCAATTTCAATCTTACAATGACACTTGGTAATCTCAATTTACTGTTAATCTTAAACGCGTTCGAAGTTAATTGTAATTACAATCAACAAGGAATTGAACTAATGTCCAATTGTTTGAAAGAAAAAATTTCCACAACCTTATTTGATATTCAGAAGTTCAGAACTTTTTCTGACGATGGAGGATCATCATGATCTTCGAACTCTAAAATTGAGTTCTTATCATTAATTCAGCACCATGAACATATATTCTATTGATAATCGTCAGAATTTCTGAAAATTCGGATAAGGTAACAATTAACTATTTTCGTTGTTGGAGTTAATTGATGCCCTTACCTTGGAGAATCAAGAATCTGTGTTAATTTTTTTTTTTCATCTCACAGAAGTTGATGAATCTTTTCATGGAAAAACAAAACTTTGTCACCAATATTTCACCTTGAGTATGAATCTTCATTTGAATTATATTATCTTCCTATTACCACGTTTTCTCAGTTTTCATTTCAATTCTTACCTTTTAATGTTTTCAGTTTTCTCTTTACCAGTTACCTTTATTTACTCACCTGTGAAATAAAAGTTCAGCTGAATTTACCTTTAAGATTATTCATCATTCTCATGTCATCTCCCCATTCATATGACCTGTAAGAAAATCACCAACGTGTCTTTTCACTTCATTTCCTGATGATGAATTTCCATGACTCATATTCAGTCGATTATTGTCTGAATCAACAGAAATATCAGATGAAAACAAAAGGATTGCGATCTCAAAGTGATTTTTAAGGTGAACGACAATCAAGATTTGGATAAACAATTAAACATTGGGAACAGAAAATATCATCATGTGTAAATATCAACAACAAGGATGAAACAATGAGCTTACAGAGTGCAAACATCATCATTGTTGTTGTTGTTTTCTACTCCATTTAAATGATGCGGAAAATGATGCATCTTGATAAGTTAATTAGTTGATACAATTAAATTGGTTGGGTGAACAGGATTGAAGAGAGTGAGAGAGATACATTTAGATAGCTGTTAAATATGTGTAACCTTTTTTTTTCTTGCCTACACATCATTATCTTCATCATCTTGATGAAACTTAACAACAACAACATCAAGTAAGCATCATGATGATAAGTATCATGAGACAGTTGAAAACAAGTTGAAATGATGAACAAAAAAATCCTTGTGACTTCAGGCATCAGAATATGTCATATGTACCTTGTTATTTTCAACTTAACCCAACCGTTGATTGTTCATGATTGTTCATCATTGAACTTTGCTGTTGTTGTTTTTTTTTCATGAAAAAAAAGTTCCGTTTGTCACCAGAAATTGTTGCCAAAAAGATTCATATTTATCCTCCAATAGTTGTCACAATTATTGATTATCTAATTTGAAAATTAACTTCAATTGATTAACTTTTTCCTCTCTTTTACTTTCATATGATTTTCCTCACACAGATTCTCATTCCCATGGTATTTAATTATGAACATCAAGGTCATTGGAATATCTCTCTCTCTCTCTCTCTCTCTCTCTCTCTCTCTCGAATCATCATTATCCTTGGAAAACATCCTCTCGATTTCATCATCATCTCTCTCTCTCTCTTTCTTTCTTTCTTTCTTTCTTTCTTTCTTTCTTTCTTTCTTTCTTTCTTTCTCTCTCTTGTAAAATTCAATATCTTCATCATCATCTTGTTATTCATGTTTGAGTTCATGATGAAAATGATTTCGTAGACAAGATTGAAAATAATATAAAATTAGTTACGTAAATTGTAATTATATTTGCCAACTTTTATAAATCTAATTCTGGGATAATTTAAATATTCCCTCTGATTACTATTACAATTTATAAGTTGGCATAAATTTCCTGTCTAGGCTTATATACATGTTACTTTTAAATGTAATTTATTAATTATTGTGATTATACAATATTGTTGAAGACAATTTATCAATGTTGTTGTTTTTCAACATCTTCTCATTTGATTTGTAAAGCAACAATTAAGCTTGTAATTTGTATAGTAATTTAAATACTCGTGGTGTTGTTGTTTTTGTTGTTCAATTGATAAAATTGATGACGATAATGACGATAATGATGATAATGATGATGAAATGGAAACAACTTTTCAAGGTTGGAAAACTCCTTTTAACTTTTTCCTTTTAAATTTTGTTTACTAATTAACTTTTTGTTTTCTTTTTCCTAATCAATTTCCTCTTACAGGGTCAATGAAGAAAACGACTTGAATCAATCAATTGAAATCATCTGATGATCACAATCAATTTATTTGTCTCGGTTTTTTAATCATTGTAACAATTATAACAACGAAAACAACGTGAAAGCTGAAATTTTAAATTTAATTGTTGATCCTTGTTCCAGTTGATTGGTTAATTGTTGTGTTTACCCTTTAATCAGGCAAAACCGGCTTTTCAAATGATTACAATTTGTCATTGATTTACTTTACTTTTTTTCATAATCAAACTCACATGATTATTATCCAGGTAAATTGTCATCTCATTTTCAATTTAACCTTGTAATTTATTTATCGCTTTCATCATCATCATCATTAAATTATGAATCATTTTCATTGTTTACCTTAATTTCATAATTACTTTTGATTGTTAATCTATTTTGGCCATTCGTTGATTGTTATTGATTCTCAGACACAATTAACTCTAAAACTATATCCTATTACAATAATAACTATGAATAAACAAATAAGAGAGAGAGAGAGAGAAAGGCAAAAAATAGTTTTATTTGATTGATAGGTAATTAGATTCACCGATTAAAACTAATCAACAACAAGATTTAACAACAATTTGTTAATCACTGGAAATTGAGCTGCCATCTAATGGATTCCAATCAAATTAATACTTTTCCAACTTTTCAATCATCGATCATTTTCAATAAGATCATTAATCAGATTAAAAAGTTAAATCATTCAGATTGAAATTTGATCAGTAATTAATTAAATGAATGAAAAGTTTTCACTAAGAAAGGAAAAGTTTTTTTTTTGTTTTCGAAAAAAGTTACAATGTCAACCAATAGATGGCGCGACTAAACAGGAACAGGAAAATGAAGTTTTTGTTTTTTAATTGTTTTTCCGGTTAAAAATTGTCATTATTAATTATCCTGATCATTAGTTTTTGATATAATCAAATGATTATCATCTGCGACATTGGTAACAAGCTGTTTCTGGGTTGATTGTGAAAACGAAAACAACATATGACCGTGAAAGAGAATCAATGAAAAGGTTAAATTATTGATTAAGAAAAAGAATTAATTTCTCCCTTAATTTTAAATTAATCGAAATTAAGAATCAAGCAGATGAATGAGAGAGAAAACAAAGTGACCTCTTGTTTTTCTTAATGATGAAGAGTAAAACTTTCGATACAATTATCGTTAATGAAGAGAAGATTGAAAAGTGATGATTATCTAGTTAATTGTCTTCGATCAAATCGATTTAGAACTTTTCTTTTCTTTTCTTTATTTATCTGGAGAAGACAGAGAATTAATTTGACCAGAAGAAGAAAATCGAAAAAGTTCTCTTTCTTTCAAATGAGCTAAAAATAGCAGAAATGATATTCGGTTAAAAGAAAGAGAAATTCATATGTAATCAATGATTCTAAGAAAAGGTGAATTAATATAAATGAGAGAGAAGATGATGATTAAATAATCGATGGGAGAAAATGACAGTTATCATATTGAGAGAGAAATGGAACATTATTAAAATTGGAGTGAATTGAAAATTTTAATTCTAATTGGATGAAGAGAAGAACAAACAAAAATAAAAGGTAACACTTTTACTTTTTGGTGGAAATTTGTAACCCAAAGAAAGAAAGAAAGAAAGAAAGAAAGAAAGAGAGAGAAATGATGATGATGATGATAACAAGAGATGATAAAAGAGAGAGAAAAGAAAGAGAAAGAAAATACTAGAAAAAGAGAGACAGAGACAGATGATGAGAGAAAGAAAGAAAAGATGAAAGAACATGAGAGAAGAAGAGAAATTAAATAGACAGAGAGAAAGAGAGAAATGGAAGATGAGGAAGAAGAAGAAGAAGAAGAAGAAGATAGAATTGATGGAGAGAAAGAAAGAAAGATTAAGAAAAGGCCGGTTAATGTTTTTCTTTCTTTCTTTTGTTTTGTTTTGGTTATATAATAAAAAGAAAGAGACAAAATTCGGGGTGTGTCTATTATAAAAAGAAGAAGAAAAAAAGGAATCACAAGCGAAAGGAGAATTGTATTAAATATGGATTGTGTTTCCTTCGACCTTGAGACCATTTCATTGATTCTCTATCAGTTTCCCCTCAGATAAGTGACTCACCAAAGCCTTTCGAAAGGCTGAAAAGTTGAAAACAAGTCGAGTGATTTCCTCTTCAGATTCTCCCTAATCACATCAACTGCTTCTCCTCTATTCTCCTGAATTCTCACTTCTCAATTCTGCTCACTTTGTGTCTCTTTTCTCATCAAACAGACTCAATGTCTTCACTTTAGTTTACATTCGAATCTCCAAACGTAAATTTCCCATACATTTTTCTAACTTTTTCTACTTTTTCATTTTTCTCTTCTTTTTGTAAAGAGATTTAAATTTTGTAAATATTTCTATTGATTATTGAAAAGTTTTTGAATTTAATTAATTTTGAAATTGAAAATTTAAATTTCTTGTTTTAAATTGGCTTCAGTCTCTTCGGACTAAATCAAGGAAACGCCTTATGGACATGATTGTAACTGCTTAAACCATAGAGAATATCCTTGATTAACCTGGTGCAGAAATATGTCCGTTTATGGATGTTGAATCACAATTGATACATTTCAGTTTACACCGATCAACATGGAAAAGTCCACCACACTTATAACTTATATCTCATCCACAATTATGATCTGAGTTACCCTTTTAGACACTTAAAACATTGATGAAGCTTCCGAGATAAAACTACCTTGTGACCATCGAATGTTCCTCTAAAAGCTAAAATTATTTTAAAAATTTTTCTCTGTTAGTATTTAAAATGAACATTTAACTTAAACAGTGGCTTTACTGAGTCTTACCTTTACGTTTATAAAGAGAAACTGAATTTTCGTTTAATTCTATTATCAATATGACACCGTTCCTGGTTCTCCTTCGGATAAATGAAATTTCTGGTGTCAATCCAATAGAATAACCTACTGTATTACAACTGAAATGTCACTTCGGTCCTTGGCTTATAAAAAAGTATCCTCAGTTACTTAGTTCTTCCTTTCAATTGTTCGGATGAATCTAAATGGTAGTAATTAAAGAAAATAAAAATAAAAATTATTAAAATCAACTAAATTAAAATATTAAAACAAACTAAGTAAATAAGCACCTAAATTTGAACTATTACAAGAAACAAAATGCAAAGTAAAATAAGATTACTACCTAGTAGAATTGGCCAATTCAGTGAATATTTCATCATGGCCCACGAAAATTGGTACCCTTACTCCAATATTTGGTACAAGGCTGACCAGATTAATGTCGGCATCCTAGAACAAACTTCTAGTTGATAAAATTCTGATTTAAAAGAAATCAAATCATGTTGATAAGAATCTTCTGGTTGATTACCCAAAGTTATACATTTGATAATCAAGCGAGAACCTTAAATTTTCCACTGTCGTTGGGTCCATTTTAAACTCAATTAAAACAAATAAATCAAAATTTTAAATTCAAAAGGTTAAAATGAACAATAATTGATTGAAGAAAACAAACAAAGAATTGATGATTGGAGAAATTACTATAACTGAAATTTTTGTTAAATTTCAAATCACCTTTCGTTTAGGGCCCAATAGGTCAACAATTGATTAAGTGAAAGGCGATCTTTTGAAATTTCTTAATTTTTCAAACTTAAATAAATTGATCTCTACCAGTATCGAACTTATTTTTCTTCTTCGATAATAACTATTTAGCTTAACATCAGGTATTATCTCCAACACGAGAATTCCTATACTCTCCAAGTCCTCATTTGGAAGGGCCAGATGTCTTTGGATTTTCTAAAAGATTTAATGTAAGTTTGAATCAATTTCATCATAAACTGCTACCACCTCTGTATAGACCAAGAGTAACATTCGGTTGATTCCCAATTCTTATGGAAAAAGGAGCTAATCAGTAGGTGAACACGATAACAATCACTAAAGTATGAATGTTACACTGGAGAACAATTATAAAAAGCCGCCCATTACCAAAACATATCACCTCAGCATACTTATTGGTTCAGGCTTAGGTGGATTTCATATAAAATAAATTAAACAAATTATCAGACCTCATTCTTAACTTCTCTTGAAATTTGAGGATCTTTCTTACTTAAACACAATTATTAAATAATTTGACAATTTATTAAATAGTGAATGTCAACAATGAATTTATTCACTCTCAAATTACTACAATGAGACACCTTACGGGTTGAGAAGACTCTAACTTTACTAAGAAGCGCTGACTTTGAAAACTCTTTTTATCAAGACCAAATACTTGTAATCATAATTTACTCTACTCAAAGCAAGAGTAATCTGATTAATTAACTCTGGACAGTCAATACAATTTATGAAATGACCAGAACATCCACAGCTTCACACAACGATAATTTTCCTTTTGATGGACAAAATTGATCTCATGATCATTAGAATATATGCATCGTCATAATTTCGGCAGTTTCTATTTTGTGTCCATAGGAAATACAATTGCTGCAAATTTATATTCAGGTTATCAAAAATTGAATTGTCACCAAGTATACAAAGCGAACTTATGTGTCTCCTCCATTAGTAAACGTAGCTCTGGCTTTACACCAATTAATACGGTATCGTAAGTGTCTCCAAGTAGTATGTGATCAACTGTTAAATCTCCAGTCTTGATAAAATCATTTTCCTGAACCAGAGTCTCTGTCAAATCATCATCGCGTAGGTAACGATAGACCATTAAACGTTTGGGTAGTAACAATTTCAGCATGGGTTCACTAGTTTGGGAATCTCAAAGAAATAATTATGAAAATTGTCTTTAAATAATTAAAATTATCCATCTGATTGAGGTGAGTTGAACTTCAATTTAAGACAATTATATCCATCTCATACTAATCCTTTATCCTCTAAATGGCCAACATTTCACGCCTGATACGGAAACCATTGAGTTCCTGACCATTACGTCTTGCTCTTACAATAATGAACCAAATTTTCCTGATTGAGTCACATCAAGCCCATAACACATTAGAATGTTCCTGAAACATTGGAGTGTTGATAGAGTTGACATTTTTCATAAACAATTTGTAACAAACTAAAAGTAAACAAATCAAAACTGAACAAAACATTTATTCATTTTAGTTAAGCGCCTAATTCAAAATTTGTTCAAAATCATTTTATTTTCGTTATTATTTTAAATCATCAATTAATCTACTTTATCAATAAAACATTTAGGAATTAGGAGCAATAATTTTTCTTTATTTATCTGTTAGTTTTGAATACAATCTTATAAGTACTTTTGACAAAGGATCGGCATTAAAAAACCTCAATGAGGAAAAAGCTATGATCATACTTGTTCTTAAATTAAATCATTAAAAAGCGATAATGATGATTTATTTGTTCCAACTGT